TTCCAATAATACTCTCCTAATTAACAACAGAGAACTGGACTTCTTGGGAACTTGGTTCCTTATAAATAAAACAACTATTTTTCCATGAACATTTTTTGCTAATGATGCAGGCCTTGATTAGTAAAAATAAAGTATGACATTTTATCCAAGAGTAGTTTTTGGTGTTTTTTTATTCAGATTTTTATTTCGGCGTTACAATTCCGAGAAACTGTCTTAATAGCCTCGGCATCAGCTTCTGGAGAATATTTAACGTGTTGATACAAGTGTAATGCGATGTCATTAATGTAATAAAGTGCAGTTCAGCAAATTGTTGTTAGCACATGTCTATTCGGCAAAATTGGTTGTTTGTTGACGTTAATCGTCCTCTGAATTTTGTTCTGACTGAGTCAGTAGTCAAGGTCCAAATAACAACGGTTGCACATCATTTCTGAAACACTCGGCCACTCATTGCATCACCCTGCACGATATTTCGTTTTATTGCTCACTTCCTGCGCTAGCAGCTCCTCGTCCCCTCTAAAATCAGATCCATCTCGCCTACTGAGGTTTAAAAATTGAATCCTTCCTTTGCACTGCATTATCAGCGCCTTGCACTGTCAACAAGACCTGTACGAATGTTTCTCTGCTGTCTATCGATTAGTACCACTTCCATCCTTTACGTAATTATTTCTTATCGGAGTCTGTGAAAGAATCGATCTTGCTCCGATGCTTATACTTCTTCCATGTAAATAAAGTCAATTTACCTTTTATATGCCGTGGTATTTTTGCAATATTTTTGTCTGTACAGTTATTATAGTTTTTATAAACGATGAATAAAGTACTTCAATATCTCATGTTTAAATAATTAAAAAATCATGTTTTAAACAATTGTTTAAAACGTGTTTAAAACGAATGTATATTAAACAGCAATTTGTGTTTTAAACAAATAGAAAACATTTGTTTAGAACATTTTGTTTAAAACATGGTTGCAGCTAAAGCCAAATAGATAGTGGGAGAAATAAATTAAAACGATGCTTTGTTCATCAACTGTTTTGTTCGTGCAATTTCTACCTTTTTTAGTGATTAGTGATATTATATCGAATACGACAAATAAAGATGATTGTGCAATTAGATTGCGGTTAAACCGCAAAAAAATGAAATATTTTCCCTGGGATGTTTCACAATATGATTGCATTCTGTTTATCATTGAGGAAATCCCTGAAATGCGTCAAAATTGCAATAAATCTAGTGATACCAACATTTCTTCTTCACTTGCATCATCACTACAGGTTGTTTGGACTCTTGGACTCATACTAATAACTATGACTGTCAGAGAGAGCCGCAATTCAATGGCGTGCCAAGCCGATCAACCGAGACTTGCGAAAGCCGCTGCTTCAGAATGCTTTTCACGTTTACGTCACGCTAGTATACTGTTGCCTTTGATATCATGCATATGTTGCGTAATTGTTTCCTACCCGTTGGTGTTTATGGTGGTGTATTGTAGACAAATTCTGTAGACAGTTCTGGCAGTTTTACTAATAACATTGGCATTTTTTACCAACGATGGATGCCAGCAGCATTCCTACATGGTCGATATGCAAAAATAATGTAAATTTTTTACGTTTTATCAGCTCTTATCAAAACACCTTATACCGTAATATCAATCGTTCAAGTTAGTAGCGATAATGGGGAGAATGTAACGAATAGGCGAAATCTCGTGAAAATAACAATTGTAAAGTTACCCACCGAAACAGTCGCAGTCGTCTTCTGCGAGCTCCTCCGCTCCGTCCTCTTGTACCTCTGCAGGAAATTGAAGGAGCTGTTGTAGAAGATGTCGTCCCGGTACATCGGCCTCATCTGGTTCATGATCCTGTTCCTAGACATCCTGGTGACCGTCGTCTTCTCGGACACGGCGTTGGTGTTGTCCTTCTTGGTCCTGATGCTCTGGTATTCCGACCCAGTCTTGGACTCCTGCAGGTCTGGATCCTCGACGAGGTCCTCGTCTTTTAAAAATAATTATCAGCATTCGAAGTTACGTTATTTTTATTTTTAAACTCGACAAAATGTTACCTTTTGATTTAAATAGAAAGCTAGACGACGGGTACGTCGTGATCATCACCTCGCTGGACTTGAACCTCCTCGGTTGCAGCAGGATTATGGTGGGCGCCTCCGTCAGCTCGGACAGCGTGGGGTACATCCTGTTGTGGTACGTCGTGAAGAAGTTACCAGAGACGACCTGGTGGCGAAAAAATTGACATCATCCGACGATTTTTATATCCAATACATCGAACTCACCGGGTTCAACTTGATCCTCTTTACCCTAGAAGGCGGTACCGGCTTGAACAGCAGGGAGCAAGCCAGGGCCAGAACGAACATCGCCGACAGGAGCCTGAAGGTGCTCCTCCAACCTAGGTTGTCCAAGGCCAGTGAGAAGACTATGGGCAGAACGACGCCTCCCAAACCGGCGCCGCACGAGGACACCCCGGTGGCGACGCCTCGCCACTTCTCGAAGTAGAAGCCGACGGCGATGACGGCCGGCATGTATATCAGGCCGAAGCCTATGCCGCCTATCACGCCGTACGTGAAGTAGATGGGGTGTATCGTCCTTGCGAGGGACGAGATTAGGCACGCGATTATCGATAAGACGCTGCCGACGATTCCTATCGTACGATATCCGTAGTTGTTTACTAGGGAAGCAGCGAAAGGACCTGGAGATAGAAATAATAAGCTGAAACCATACCATGAACACGAGGATCAAGGTTTTTAACATTCTCAAAACTTACCTGTACCATATGTCATGAATTCTGATTAAATAGTAAAAAAGTAATTGTATTTCATTATCTTTTTGGGCAACCTCTCTTACCGCTTAAACAAAAAACGCCATTAATTATCGCCGAGGACAATGACACCATGCTCTTGGAGCACTTCAGATCTTGGGACATCTTGTCCAGGAACACGCCAAAGGAATAGAACATGCCATCGACGATGAGGAAGGAGAAGAACGCTCCGCACACCACTACCCACCCCCAGCCCCCGTCGGGCGGTACCGTTATCAGCGTCTCTTGGTAGTCCTGGTCCGTATCCATCCTACTGTGTTTGTTGCTTCCTGTGGACGACGTGAGCATGTCGTCATAAGTACCGACGGCCGGTTGGTTTTCCATACCTTATTCGCATCGTTTCTTCGCAATCTGCCACTTGGCGTCGTTTGCACGTTGTTCCATTTGACAGTAGAAAAGCGTCATTTTGACGGAACCGAAGGCGGTCTTCATTTCATTCCCGGCAAAACGGCCTTCTAATTTTTAATTGTTTTTAGATCGATCGAAATAACTCATTTTTCGTTTTTTATTTCTCATTTCCGTAAAAATAAATAAATTTTGACGAAACTTGGTGAATGTATACCTTTCTATGTCTTAAATAACCACAAATTTTTTTAGATAAAAAAAATCAAGAAGTTTGCGAGATATTTATTTTTTCCGGTTGAAACACTTTTTTTTCAAAGAAAAATTCAACGTACAGAGTTGTGCCGGTGATAAAAATATCTGTAATCACCGTTCAAAAACATGTTCAAAAATGCAAGAAAAAAATAAAAAATTGCAACAATAAATTTTTCAGTAATTGTTAATTTGTTTAAATTAAAAAAAAAATCAAAGACTAATTACACCATTCAATTGTACGGAAAAAAATACATAAAAAACTGTCTTGAAATGAAAAATGAAAAATAAAAACCGAAAAATCAGAAAGAAAACCTGTTTTTTGCATTTTTCTCTGACATGTTGAGGTTATCTTAAAAAGTGACCTCTACAAAAGTTGTAGATTTTTGCATGATCTACAACTTTTGTATTGGATTCTTTTTTGTTTGACATCAAATTTCGCCAGAAATTCCAATGATATAATTTTTCACAACTTTTCAACATCTCAAATCAACCCTCCAAAACCCCTGCTCACGCATTTATTTTTTTAGGTTTATTATAAACCCTTTTACCATTTCTACTTATAAAACCTCTAGGTAACAATTTTTTTTTCTCCGAGTGTAATTTTGTTGGACTATTTAGTTTTCGTGCTGTACAGAGCTAAAAATTATCCTATTATCAAATTTCATTAGGTACCGAAAATATTTAAAAGTAGAAGATATGGAACAATAGAGAAAAATAGGTTTTTAATTCTTTTAAAATGAGTTTTGGATTTAAAATGACATGGAGGCTTACCGTTAAGTAAAGTTTTGTTTTTATAGTTGCCATAAATTAGCTGGCATATATGTAATATTACTGGAAAGAATATTAAGAAAACTGTGGGTTGAATAGAAGAAAATAAAAAATTACTGCTTTACAGAAAAAGTGCAAAGAGAATGATTTATGTACGTTCGTCTTGCTTTCATACATTTGCCACTTCCACCTACTTGTGGTTTCAGTAATAATTCACTATTGGAATAAAACGTCACTAATGACAGTACTACTCTATTAATACAATTTTTACACACACTGCACTAGATTAATACCAAAGCATAAGAAACGTTTATATGCGCAATTGTGATAGTTAAGAAACAACTAATGTTAACGTGAGAAGTAGAAGCAAAAAAATTCTACTCGATGCAAAAGGCTGCTTCTGTGAAAACCTGTAGATTTGTGAGTTTGTAGACGGCCTGTATAAGTATTCCAATTAAAAAATAAATTTAGGTTCTCATCTTGTAACCATTATTTCCGGAATGTGATATTCAAATTTTGCATACACTATCAAAGTCGGGAAATATTTTTCACGTCATATTTATTATCAACACTTCCTTATAAATTTGACAAATCATATGATAACCACATGAGTGGAATCTTTTTTATTCTGTATATTTTTACATATTTAAAGGGGACATTTTTTAACTTAAATTGTACCGATGTGTGTTTATTTAAAATACAAAAAGTTCTTTTGCATTATTATAGGTCGAAACTTTTGAATATCATTATCTGCAACGAAATATAAGTGGAAAACCACGATTTTTTTTTCCAAATACCGATTGATATTTAATTTTATTCCAGATAAACCACCTCAACGATACCCATAAGCAACTGATGGTGCATTGGGTGGGTGAAAAAAGTAAAGTGGTGATATGTCTGGCCCGCGATCCGGCACCCATCATTCCATCCTTCACCACTGTCAATCCGTCAGCCGTCTACATTTCTTACGATGATGGAGACACGTACCAAAACATGACTGACAGTTTTAAACTGGACAACGGCAGTTACGCCACGTTGGAGAAATTCTACAATCACCCGAAGTATAATACACACGTAAGTTAATTATTTTTATCATAACCATTATTACTAGAGTGAAATTAGGTGATAATGAAAAATGGAAATTAACCAGGTTGTAAATTAAGAAAATTACATGATTGTTCGCTGTTTTGGTAATCTTAAACTGGTTTTTTATCTAATCAAATGTGAATAAAGAAAAAAAATAACAGTTAATTGTACAGATTTACATTTTTGGACTGATTTTTGCTTAAAATAGATGTGCAATTTAATAATTTGTTGCATTTGTATAAAATTTCTTCAAAATTCATAAAAAATCGAAATAATAAAATAAATTTGACAATAAAATGACAGATTTGTATATTTTTTTTGTAATTATTTACAGTTTGTTTTCACCGACATCAGACACAACATGATGTACTTGACCACTGACCACGGAAAGAGTTTTAAGAGTGTGAAACTTGATTTTACACCCTCCGACGTTTCCTTTCACGAGTTGCAACCTTCGACATTTGTGGTCCTAGATAAGAACGATTCTAATCAGAAGGTGAGTATTTTGTCAGTTTCCAATACGGTTACTGGAACTTGCCCATTCTTGTCTTAGTTCTGGATAACGGAGGACTTCGGAAAAAGCTTCCGGTTGGGGCACGAGTTTGTTAAGTCGTTTTACTGGATGAAGGATTCCAGCGACAACCAGCAGCTGCTGCTGCAACGCTTCGAGCCCAACGGACTGAGCAACATCATCTTTTCCAGGAATCTGTTCAGGAGCAGGGCGTCGCACATTTACACGACCAACGTCAAGGATTTCTTTTTCAAAGGGGATTACTTGTTTACCACCAAAGTTAACGCCAAGGTATTCATTTTCAATTTCCCAGCGATATCGGTGCACAGTTATTGTCCCTGATCACGCGCGATTAAATAACAATAAAGATAAGAGATATTTGTAACTTTCCTTTGTTCTAAACTTGACAAATCCAGTCTCGTAAATATTTACATGGTCTACATTTTTTCCTAATCCCTTTCGACAATTTAATTTTTAACTTTTCAGGGCGATACAGAATTATACGTGTCCTACAAGTTGGGCAAGCAGCTATTGTGTGTTTTCAATTCGGTACAGAAATTCAGGAGCTACTACATCGTAGACGTTACCGGTAGCAGGGCCTTCGTCGCCGTCAGTCACTCCGATGTCTTGTCCAACTTGTATGTGTCGGAAAATCTCGGCGGTAACGACGGAGAGGTCAGATTCACCATGTCCCTCGAGAACGTTTTCGCGTTTTTCCCCAATTTGACCTGGCATGACTCTTGGCTTCAGTAAGTAATGTTTTATTTATTATTTTTTTTTAAATTTTTTCGTTACTAACTTTATTATAAGGTTTCGCATCTGCTGGATCATCGCCTAGTGACGTCAATCTCCATTTGTAAATGATTAATTTAATAATTTCGTGAACTAATTACAGCATAAAACTCGATTTTAAATCATTTTACACGTTTATTGTAATACTTTTCCCATTATTCGATTACTTAAATTAAGTTAAAATTTGAGGTTAGGCAGAAGAACTAATGGTCTGGTAGTGCTGGGCCTCGGTGTGCATCACATTTGACAGCCTTTTGAACACATCGCTTTAATTTTGTCACGTATTGTTTCATTTCGTCTGATACCGCATCTACGACCATAAACTGACGTCACGGGTGAAGCACTGCAGTTTCAAAATGGAGATGATATTAGTTTGTCACGTTTCTCTACATTTTATACAGTCACATCTCGGAAGACGCGTTCGCCGACGTCTACAAAGTGGAAGGCCTGTCCGGCATCTACATAGCCTCCAAAGTCATATCCAAATCGATTTCGAATGTGGGGCCTCAGGACCTAGCCTCGGTCATCACATTCGACCACGGCGCCTCCTGGCGTCCTATCCAACCGCCCGCCTTCGACGTCGAGAACCAGTCTACCGGTTGCCTGATCAGAGACAACTGTTCGTTGCACCTGAGCCAGAAATTCAGTCAGTTACACCCGGAAACGAGAACCGTCACCATTCTCTCCAGTAAATCGGCTCCCGGCATAATCCTCGCCACGGGAGTCTTGGGCAAGAACCTCAAGGGGCACCACGGGGTGTACATCAGCTTGGACGCCGGGCTGACTTGGAGGCAGACCCTGAGGGAGCTCTATTTCTTTAATATGGGCGATCACGGCGGGATTCTAACGACGGTTAAATATTACAAGTCCAAGGGTGAAACTAGGCATATTCTTTACTCTATCGACGAGGGGGAGAACTGGAACAAGACTGTTTTCCATAACGAGGAGATGAGGTTGTACGGCTTGATGACGGAACCTGGGGAGAACAGCACCGTGTTCACGATGTTCGGGTCGCTGCCAGAGGCTCACCAGTGGATCATCGTTAAGGTGGACTTCAAGAACGTGTTCAACAAAACTTGTGCTGAGGTAAGGATATGAATTAAAGTAAATGAAATAATCGTAAATGCAGAATTTTTTGATATGTCATAATTTCTTTTATATATTCATTGCTTATTTACGCTTTTTATTTTTGTAAAATGCCGATACAGTTTTAGAAAAATTTAAATTTGCCGCCACATTATCGACCAATAAAAAATTCCAATTTTTGTACGTTTGTGCCTCCATTTTATCAGTTTGTGTTGTTTCTTTATTTTTCAATGCCTTATTTCAGTCGGACTACAAAATGTGGTCGCCCAGTCGGACCGAGGAAAACCGCAGCTACATACCCTGTGTGCTGGGTCAACAGACGACTTACCAGAGACGCATGCCCCACTCGCTTTGCTTAAACGGTCTCGATTATGTAAGACTTGTATCGAAAGAGACGTGCGACTGCGACGTTTTGGACTTTGAATGGTAAGCGAAGTGATTTTTAGAAATCTTCGATATTTATCTCCGTTTTTTAGCGATTTTGGCTTTGTTCGTGTGGGAAATCCCCCGCACTGCATCTTCGACAAGACCATGACTATCTACGACCCCTACAAGGTGCCCCCCACCTGCAAGGCGGGCCAGTTCTACAACCGAACCAAGGGCTATCGCAAGATAGCCGGCAATGTCTGCGTGGGCGGTTTCGAGTCCCACTATCTGCCCGATCAAGTGCCCTGTCCCTTCCAAGAAGTAGACGACTTCATACTCTTCGCTCAGAAGGAACGCCTCTCGTTGTACAACCTAAAATCGAAATCCTTGGAAGAACTGCCCGTTAAGAACTTGAAGAATGTCATCGCGACAGATTTTGACATGTCGACGAACTGCGTGTACTGGGCCGACATCGCCTGGGACACCATAGGCAGGCAGTGCTTCGAGAGCGGCAGCAAGGTCGAGATTTTGGTTTCAACCGACTTGGCCTCCATCGAGGGCATGGCTTTCGACTGGATTTCGAAGACCTTGTACTTCGTCGATGGAGTTCGTGCGAAAATCGAACTGATCCGAACGGACATTAACCATAGCGGTAGAATGAGGAGGACGATCCTGGATTCGAAGACTCTGAGCAAGCCGAGGGGTATCGCCCTCCACCCGCAGCACGGCTACATGTTCTGGACGGACTGGTCGGCGGAGAATCCCTCCGTCAACCGGGCGAACTTGGATGGCAGCAACAACATCACCCTGTTCGGCAAGGACAAGGTCGACTGGCCCAACGGCATCACCATCGACTACATCGCCAATAGGATATACTGGGTGGACGCTCGACGGGATTACATCGGCAGTTCGGATCTACACGGCGATGGTTTCGTCAAGATCGTATCCGAGGTCGAGGTGGTGTCTCACCCGTTCGCCATCGCCGTTTTCAAGCACGACATGTACTGGGACGACTGGAAACGCAACTCCATATTCACAGCCGACAAGGACACGTTCAGGGGTGCCGAGGTCATCGTCAAACAGCTGACGGGCCTGATGGATCTGAAAGTGTTCGCCCACGGGCTCCAGATAGGCACGAACGCTTGCACGAACACCACCTGCCCTTACATCTGCGTCGGGATGCCGAAGAACAAGTATGCCTGTCTCTGTCCCGACGGGCTCGTCGCCAAGAATGACAAATGCTTGTGTCCTGGAGATGTGGAGCCCCTGGCGAACCTGACCTGTCCGTCGGTAGAGAAGAGCTGCGGCGCAGACCACTTCGCTTGCGGCAACGGCCTCTGTGTCCCCAAGGGGTGGAAATGCGACGGAGAAGATGATTGCGGCGACAACTCGGATGAGGCGCACTGCGGCAAGGAGACCTGCCCCCCGTCGTTCTTCATCTGCGGCGACGGGAAGTGTCTGCCACATTATTGGAAGTAAGTTAATAACAAATTTTAGATTATGTACAGTGTTAAACGTTTACTATTTCAGGTGCGATTATGACACCGACTGTGCCGACGGGTCCGACGAAATGGACTGTCCGAGGCAGAACTGCACCGACGGCCAGTTTGCTTGCGAGAACGGCAGGTGTATATCCTCCAAATGGAAGTGCGACGGAGAGAATGACTGCAGGGATAACTCGGACGAGAGGAATTGCAACGCCGACAGCCCCACGTCATGTAAAAGTGAGGGTACACGTCTGCGTTATTCCCGAATAGTGAAAAATTAAAAATCTTTTTTTTTTTTTTTGTTTCAGGCGATGAATTCCATTGTCTGTCGGGGGCCGTGACGTGCATCCCGTCGACCTGGAAGTGCGACGATGAGCCGGATTGTCGGGACGGCTCCGACGAGTCCAATTGCAAAAACAACACCTGCTCTGAAATTCAGTTCTCCTGCGGACCCCCCAATAATCGATGCATTTACAACACTTGGGTGTGCGACGGTGACCAAGACTGTCCGGATGGAAGGGACGAGCTGAATTGCACCACCGGTAAACCGGAAGTACCTAGACCCAGCAATAGTTTCGGAACTAAGGTAAGCGCAGTTATAGTTGGGTAAAAAATGAGGGGTAACATCTAAAACCTTTGCAAAATGTTTTTAAATGCTTAAATTTGAAAGGATTCAAATCAGGCAAGCCTGCCGGTCAACTTAATTTATTGTGTAAAACTGTGTAGGTGCATTTTAAATTTTTTTGTTTGTTTCCTATCGAATGTAAATGCAAACTCAAAATCTTGAAATTTTAGAACAATTTTTTTATTTCTTTTTCGTTAAAGCTGAAATTTTGCATTCATTCAATTTTCTGTTCTAGAACGGAACTTGCCAGGACTGGATGTTCAAATGCAAGAATGAGCGCTGCATACCCTTCTGGTGGAAATGCGACCTGGCTGACGATTGCGGCGACGGAAGCGACGAGATCGGCTGTACCCAGAATTCCCTTGTGCCCACGACGACGGTCGCGCCTACGAAACCCGCCTTCATCTGCGGAAACAACCAGTTCCAGTGCCCGTCCGGAGACTGCATCTTCTCCTCGTGGGTGTGCGACGGCATGCTGGACTGTCCCGGCGGGGAGGACGAGAGACACTGCGACAAATTCAAGAATTGCACGGATTCGCAGTTCCGGTGCAGGATGGACGGCAGCTGTGTGCCGGTAAGCAAAAAAACGACGGTTTAATTATACATTTTATTTTAATTTAATTTAATAATGTCTCTCTCAGCTCTCCACCGTATGCGACGGTGTTTTCAACTGCCCCGATGCCACCGACGAGCTCGTCTGCGAGAACAACAGCCCCAACATCCCCGCCACGCCCAGTTGCAGCAGCGGGATGTTCCCTTGCGACGGCATCATCTGTTACCCCCTCATGCTGCTTTGCGACGGCAAAGAGGACTGCGCCGATGGCTACGACGAGACCAATTGCACCAAGAGATCCAGGGTCTACCAGGTGACGCGCGTCGACTTGGACGAAAGGGGCACGGGCGAGAACTTCCTGAAGGTGTATTGGGGAGTGTCGAATTCCGTCGATGTCGAATTAGAATTCCTTCCGTCGATCAGCGAAGTCGGCAAAACTAACTGGAAGAACGCTACCGATTGGACCAAGAACTGGTACTTCAAGTTCACTGACCTACGTCCGTTCACCAAGTACAACATAACCGTCTATGTCCGTCTGCAAAACACCGTCGAGGTCTTCCCGCCGGCAAAGAATTTCATCATTTCTACGAGCGAGGGCGTACCGTCTGAACCTTGGAATGTCTCCGTCACCCAGAAGAATGGAACTGTGGTTCTGGTGTCCTGGATGAAGCCGATGCATCCGAACGGTGTGGTCAACAGGTACGATATCGTGTTTGAGGCACCGCACGCGTACGAGACTGTTCTGGAGCTGACGGGCGACGAGACTTCTCACCAGTTCTCATTCAGCTTCGTCCACAATGTTACGTACACGTTTTGGGTGAGTACCTATATTTTATGCGCTCATTGTAACCTTAAGGCGTGCGCTACCCGCGATCGTACCCATTTGGGAGATGTAGCATACATGGTCAAATCTCGTCTCTCTCGATTAATGTTGGCCATTTATTTTTGTTCGTCTGGTGCCCTCTGTTGTCAAATGGATTGATGTGGTAGTTCATCACATAATTGCACAGATTCACGAACTAAACACAGTGCTTTAAACAAATAGTAACAAATGATTCATTTATTTCAACAAAAATAATTGTTTTAAAACATAAATTTCATACAGTGTGTTTAAAAAGGTAACGTCAGGTAATACTACAAAGTCCGCAAGTACAACCGAGTTTGTGAACTGTCCAGTGATGGCGTAGACGAGAATTCGAGATCAGTTTGCATGATTAAAAATAAAAATTTCTGATTAGTTTTCTGAGGACTAAAAATCTGCCCCCTGCTTAAAATTATTTTATAAAAAAAGCCCATTTTTGAATTGATGCACTTGCAATTGTAATTTTTTTATTTTTAAGAACTGTTTGTCTTTCGGCGGAAAATTTCGTATGACTGAGTGGAGTAAAGGTAGCTTAAAAATATGGCATTATTTCGGAATAATTAGCAGAGCCTTGGATTTTAACAAAACCTTTTGCAATCGCCTTGAAATGGCTTATAGAAAAAAGTTATAAACTTACATTTGTACGTTAATTGTTTAAACAATTAAAAATGGTTTTTCAAAGATTATTTTAATTAAATCAAAAAATTTCAAACCAATTTTAATCAAATCGATACTATAAGGGTTTTCGAGGTCCCTGAATAAGAATGTTACAAAATAAAAATTCAAAATGGCTGATCCAATATGGCCGACTTTTTTTAAACGATTTATTAAAAAATAACAATTTTCAAAGTAATTTTAATCAAATTTATATTATAGGGGTTTTTGAAGTGGCTGAACAAGAATATATCAGAAAATAAAAATTCAAAATGACTGATCCAATATGGCCGACTTTAAAAAAAATATATTTAAAAATTACAAATTTCAAAGTAAACTTCGTTAAATTTACATTATAGGGGTTTTTGAGGTCTCTGAACAAGAATATTATGCCAGAAGTTGAAAACTCAAAATGGCTGATCCAATATGGCCGACTTTTTTTAAACAAATTATTAAAAAATTACAATTTTCAGAGTAATTTTAATCAAATTTATATTATAGGGGTTTTCGAGGTTGCTGAACAAGAATATATCAAAAAATAAAAATTCAAAATGGCTGATCCAATATGGCCGACTTTAAAAAAAATATATTTAAAAATTACAAATTTCAAAGTTATCTTAGTTAAATTGACATTATAGGGGTTTTTGAGGTCTGAAAAAGAATATTATATCAGAAAATGAAAACTCAGAATGGCTGATCCAATATGGCCGACTGTTTAAAAAAATTTATTTAAAAATTACAAATTTCAAAGTAAACTTAGTTAAATTGACATTATAGGGGTTTTTGAGGTCTCTGAACAAGAATATTATATATTATATCAGAAAATGACAATTCAAAATGGCTGATCCAATATGGCCGACTTTTTTAAAAATTTATTTAAAACTTACAAATTTCAAAGTAAACTTAGTTAAATTGACATTATAGGGGTTTTCGAGGTCTGTGAATAAGAATATTATATCAGAAAATGAAAATGTAAAATGGCTGATCCAATATGGCCGACTCTTTTGAACAAGTTATTTAAAATTACATTTTCAAAGCATTTTACTCATATTAAATTTATTAATATTAATTTAATTAAATTCAAATTAATTTATTGAAAATCCGTATTTTTCGTATTTTATACAATATTATAGTAACAAAAAAATTTTTTTTGTTGATTTTTTTAAGATCGTAGTTTGAAAATATATTGGTTAGACAAGCAAACAAATTTTTTTTTTAACTTCATTACAGTTTAACAACAGATTTCATCGTTTTAGAGCAAAAAATTTTTTTTTGTTTTTCTTTAAATTTTATAAATTCAACGTTTTAAATAAAACAAAATGGACCATCTTAAAGTACAGTTTTCAAGCTTCAAAATATGTTCCTGTAAAGTTGCAATATCATATTTTGAACTAAAGTTGTTGGACTTTGAAACGTGCCGTGAAAAATTAAATTTGCCTTTTTTTAATTATTTCATTTTTTGAATTAAAATTTTAAGATTTTTTTTTGTGTCACTCACTATTTTAAATGCTATTTCAAGAGTAATCTCTAAATGTTTTAGATTTTTATCTTAAAAATTCAAAAAAGGCAGCATTTCAATTAATTTTATAGAAAATTCTACCGTTACATAACTTTATTTACACACTATTCCTGTAAATATTTTTTTTCGATTTTAAAATCATTATGACTTGTTAGCTACAAGATTCCTCTTTCATTTAAATTTTTGTGGACTTAATAATCTGCAAATTTTTGCGAAGTCAAAATCTTACTTTACTCCACTATCTTTACACTTGTCAAAATTATTTGTAATTATACATAACGCTGTTTGTAGTTGTTTTGCAAACGGTGGGGCGTAGACATACTTTTTATACCTATTCTTCCTCCTAGGTGGTTGCTCACAATGGCAAATACAAAAGCGCCAGGTCCCAACCGGCTACGTTGCTCTACGACGGAGAAACGATCGTGGGCAACATCAAGGAATTGACGCTTCAGAACATCACAGACGACAGCGTCAGCTTAAGGTGGAAATACGACGGCGACGCCGACGGCTTCAAGATGGAAGTCCATTCCGCCCGACCTTACCCCAACCTGGCACCCAGGATCACCAAAACCCCGAACATCACCCTGAAATTGGCCCCGGGGGCGTATTACCAATTCATGGTGAGTGGCTTCAGAGAAAATTAAATCCGAACGCTCCGCAGTTGTACTTTTCCTTTTAGGTGTACGCTTATAAGAAAAATCTGGTGGGACCTCCGTCCATCGTATCGTTCATGAATAAGGGCGTGCCCCTACCGAAGATAAATAACCTGCAAAGTATTCTGGACAAGGAACGGGGTGCGGTGAGGTTAAGCTGGGAGAGACCCAAATACGTCAAGAAAGTTAACTGGTTGTACGGCGTGTATTACGGCGTCAAAGAAGAGGAGCTATTCGAGAGTAAGTGGTCGTTTTCTTGATTTATGTAAAAATATCCAACTTCCAACAATTTTTTTTTTTATTTAGAGCCGGCGTTGATGACGATCAACGAAACTGCGACGGTGACCAACCTAGACCCTTGCAAGACGTACTTGTTTGGAGTGGGGTTGGTGGGCCCCATCGGTTACGGACCGCTCTCTTCCACCTTCAAGCAGGTGACCACCTCGATAAACGAGAAGGCGCCGCCGAACGACGTCAGTGTCGGTCCGGAGGGTACCAATCCGCTTAGAATGGTGGTGAAATGGTCGTCGCCTTGCCCGTTCGCGCAGGCCAAGTACTACGTGGTAAGTTGAAAATTTAATTTTGTTCTGTCCGACCACAAAAAAATTAGTTTGTCGGTAATTTTTTTCTCGTTTCAATTTTAAATTTTATTTTATTCATACGCTGATATTTAACAATTAGGAAAAAGTTCAGGATTGTTTTCTTTTCACAGCAAAAGATTGGAAAAATTATAAAAACTCTAAAAACTGAAGATATTTGTTAAAATATTATTTGTGATATATTTTGGCGAAATAAACAGCAATGAAATAAGTAAATATATTCAAAAAATCAAAAATAAATAAAAAAAAAATTACCAAATTAAAAACCGAGCAGTAAAACAAAATTATTTTGCAAAAATCAATTGAACATATTTTTGAAAATATAAGTCTTCAATAGAAAAAATTTTTTTTTAAATTGGTGAAAAAATTTTGGCAATTTCTTTCTTTAAAAGTCGTTTTCATAAAATAAAAATTGAAATGGTCATTTGAAAAAAAACATACCCAGTCATTTTTTGATCCTTAAAATTAATAAAATCATCGAAATTTTTTAACAGTATGATAATGTAACTCTTTACGAAGAAAATAAACCGAAAATCGTTACTGTAGGGCTGTCCGCTGAGAAGATTAGCCAATTTTCGAGAGCGTCTTTTTTCAAAAAATCAATATATCGAAAAATAATTAATATTTTTTTTTGTTTTTTTGGCTTGCCGCGGACTATGCTAGCAGTAAATAGCAAGTATGGGAATGTAAATGTAAACGAGTTATAGAAGAAGAGAAAAGAGGATTTTTAACGGTTTTTTCGATATATCTTAAAAATTAACAAAGCAATCGATACTTACATAAAATCAAGTCGATAGATCTTTTTAAAACCTACAACTTTCTTATTTAAAATTTTTCAATCGGTGCTATATTTTTTTTGTTATTTTAGAAAAACTGTTTTTTGCAACAATTTAAAATTTAATTTTCTATACGGTTTTTTAGGGTTCTAAAGAGGTTCAAATAAATGTTTGCATACAAAATTTTCATTTTCCGTAATTAAAAACTTTCTAAAAAAATCGACATATTCACGTCAAAAAAAATAACATTTACATTTCCAGATTAAAGTAGTGGAAAGAACGACCACGCAAACCTGGCACACTGGAGTAAACGGTACCGACCTCTCCCATGTCTTCAACGTGTCTTACGGCGGCGTGTACGACGTCAGCGTAGCGACCGGTCAATTTAAAGCCAACTACTCCACCCCCGTCACGTACCGCGCCCCAGCCATCCAGCCGCCCTTCGAGATCCAGGTGGTTACGGAAAGCAACGGCAGCTACGTGGTTTACTGGCAGGAAAGGCAACTACCCAATGCCATGGGCAAGTACTTCTATGAGATCCTCGTACACGAGGGCAACACCCTCAACGAAACCACCGCCCAGAAGTTTACAGTCGACAAACCACCGTTCGTGTACACGAACACGACGGCGAGCACCTACACATTCGCGGTCCGCATCAAGACGGCGAAGGGACTGAAATCGATGACCTCGGAATTGCTCAGCAAGCGAGGGGAAGAGGTGCAGGAGGCTTCTACGAACCTGCCGGCCATCCTGGTGCCGAGTCTGCTGGTTCTGATAGCGCTGATGGCGGTCATAGCGTTCCTGGTGGTGCGGCACAGGCGACTGCAGAGCAACTTCACCAGGTTTGCCAATTCACACTATGACACGAGGTCCGAGGCGGCCACCTTCGACGACAGCAGCCTGGAGGAGGAGGAGAGCCCGCAGATCCGGGGCTTCTCGGACGACGAGCCGCTCGTCATCGCATAACGCAACCCGAAAATTCCGAGAGATCGATGAGACTTGCGGTTTGTATCGGACGTCACCGTTAGTTACCAGGCTTGAAGCTCCCGTCCCGGTACAAATCTTTCTAGAAGTATTGCCTATATATATATGTATATTAATATATTTAATATTAACCCTTTAAGTAAATTTTTAACGATGTTGTGACATTTACAAGTTTATATATGCTGTAGCTAGTCTTGGGAATCGCGGTCTAAGTCGCAAGAATAGAAATTTGGTTGTCATTTATGTAATTGTGAAGAGAGCGATTCGTGCCGGTTGTATTTACACATATTTTCTATCCACCCGTTAGTGAATGTTTTTTCGGTTGTAGAACCAGGGGATCTTATCGTATTTTTCTATTTTCATATGGTATGATTTTAATTTAGTGCCGTTGTCTGTAATTTATGTGCAGAAGTACATCTGATGTTATATTTTTTAAGTCAAATTTCTGTGATACTTTTGCTCAGTTAAGTTTTTAGATTTTTGAATAAAGGAATTTGACTGTGAACTGTTACGTGTCTATAAATAAACTTCTTGGAAAATAAAGTTGTAATTTAATTAAATCCTTTCCTTATAAAATGGTAAATCTGAATGATACGCCACTGTTCCATATTTTACTAACTTAAGCCTGGATCGACGTCCATGCGTAATCACAGATCTATTGTAAACACGTGATCATCAACATCCAATCCGTTTTGACCTTGACGGAGTGACAAGTCACTTTACTGATGCACAATTGGATGTTGATGGTCACGTGGTTACAATGGATCCATGATCACGCATGAATTGGAATCCAGGCAAATATTTGAATTGAAAGCGCTTCATGTCAAAATAAAAATCAGTGACTGACTTTCGGAATAAAACATTTAAAAAATCTTAAGATTTAATATTAAATTTTACGTCTAACAGTCGCATCTTCTACGACATTCAAAAACTGTTGTCAAGCATTAGATACATAATATGTCTTTTCAAATACAAAAATACTTCTTGAAATCGGAAAACAACTATTAGTGATCAAGAAACGAAGACAACGACACACACACACACATACACACCCCCCATACCCTCCTTAACCCTCCCCTCCCGCGCTAGCCTAAGGGCCACCTTAGCAAAGCGCATCCCAGGCTGCATAGCCGCACTACCCTACCCAACCATACCACACATAAACATGACACTACCCCCGGGGTTTACACAGACGAGCCGGCGAAGCAAGAAGAGCGCCAGAAGAAAGGGCCCTAGCCGGCGGGGCCCAGCCAGGACAAAAGGAGGTCCCACAAAGCGCCTACACCGGCCGCATTTGCGGTCGGGGTAGACGACGGATGGGGCCCACCTACGAAGGCTGTCCAGGCCTACACGAGATGAGGCAGGATAAAGAGGGATAATCCCCCTCGATCCCAAATCATTGAGGCCAATTTCTAGCCATAGAATAATGGCGCGAACTATTAGTGATCCATCTGATCTGAGTTATAGTATAGCACTTATAATTTATTCTACATATTTGCGATTTGTTCTGTGGTCTGTGGTCAATCAGTTAGTATGTTGAAAATGTAAACAGTATGTTAAAGACTTTTATAATTCTCTAAAAACTTTTGTATTATCACTAATAACATACGATATAATTAGTTAAATAACTGAAGTTACCGTCTTAAGTACTCCAATCGATTAAATTTTCTAAGGTTATTTCCTATTTGTGTGTAATATATTTGCCTTCTCGGACTGAAAATTAGTTAAACCTTTTGATCATGACCGACGAAAATGCAAAAGGCGACGTGCCAGATATTGATGAACCTCTAACTTCTATGCAGTCAATGAATATAAGAAACGACTCGCCAGAGGATTCTTGCAACGAGCAGGACTCTACGAAGAAGACGGACAAACTAAAAAGTAAGCAGGTTGTGTGTATCCTTCACATTACGTGTATATTGCTTGTCTTTCAGTTGATATTTTATTGAAACCCACTGGTAACGCACCAATAATGAAGAAAAAGAAGTGGACCGTGGACAGCGACAAAAAGATCGGTTGGATAGTCGAGTTCATAAAAAAGTATTTAAAGTTGGAAACAAATGAAAAATTGGTACGTAAAATAGAACCAAACATGAAAAATATATGTACAGTAGGGTATTTCTTTTAGTTCTTGTACGTGAATCAAACGTTTGCCCCTTCGCCTGACCAAATAGTTAAGAATTTATACGACTGCTACAGTACGGAAGGCAAGCTAGTGCTGCACTACTGTAAAACACAAGCATGGGGCTGAGACATCTACTATTTACGATAAAAGTTTAATTTTAACGTAAGCTACATATTTGTGATATTTAATCACGCTTTCTTTGTTACAATAGCAATTTCTTAGTCATATTAATTTAATTTATTCATATGGTGTATGACATTCCCGATTTCATTCAGTAAAGACTTCACAAAAGTAATAATTGGATTTTATTTCTGTTTCGAATGGAATTTTATTAAAAAGCGTTTAGCTTCACAAAAGCGATAATCGTTAATTTCATAATACTTGATATTTCTTAATTAAAAAACATAAAACATTGCTACTAAAGTACAACAAAATAATATAAAGCTTATTCGGGTGTTCCCCAAGGTTCCAACTTGGGACTGTTACTGTTTCTTTATTTTATTAATGATCTTAAATATCACATGTAATTCTGCATGCCTTTTCAAATGACTTGACCAGATTCTACAATTTCTTACTGGAAATGACTGTGACAAGCAAATGTTAACGTTATTCACGAGTGAAGACCCCATTTTCCGCGTAATTAATAAACATACCTGTTTGGGAAATAAACGAATATTCTGCAAATAATTTATTTCATAAATAAAGATTTTACACTTAAGTTTAACACACGTACACAGAGGCTTAAACGATTAAGGAATAGTATTAATAAACTTTGCGTTGAAGCTTACACTTAAATTTCAAAGCCTTTAAGCGGCGTCGCGGTCCAGCGTGTCTTCGATGTCTTGATTCTGGATATTCCGTACCAATTCCTCAACCACCGTATCGCCACCACCTTTCTCTTTGTCCCCTGTATCGGTACTCTCTTCCGTTGCTTCTTCCTCCCCTCCGATGATGATTTCTTCAGGATCTGGAGCCCTCGGTAGGAACTCTGTTTCCGGGTACAGTTCCGCGAAGATTTTTTTAGCCTAGATGCGAAAAAATTGATATCGGAAAAAATTAGTATGATTCGATAATTACCTCCTTGATGGCCAGATCGAAGTCCATGTCTATATCGGGGCCTGGGCAGATGTAGGTGTTTTTCGGTACGTTTTGCTTTAAATCCACACCATTGGTGTCTGCTATGGAAAAATAAAACGACCATAAAACACGTGGTTTGCACGAGGGCTCTGTTTCGTTGGCACCGTTTGTAATGAAGAGACTATCGACTACGTGCTTAAAGTCTTCTTCTGGATTAGTATTCTGTCTTGATATTAGGTGGATTAAAACTGGAACGAAATATACAGGTTCCTTAAATATATTGATCGATCATTAGAAACATTGATAAATTGAGTTTTTACGAGATGTATATGACCCGTAATGCCTAAATATTTGAACTAACAGTTATACACCAGGAAAATTAGCGAAAATAAAAGAGAAACTCGAAAATCCGCCACATTATTGTAAAATTGTCTAAAGGAACATAATACAACACATCTCTCATCTCATGAGTCAAAAATTTTTTCTATTTAAACAAATAAGTGAGAAAAACAGTTTTTCACTTTGCAGGGAAAACCATCAATTTTAGCGAAAAGTGACTCATAGACAGCTTATAGGAAGTAAAATTATCTACAAAATGAGACTAGTTAAATTAAAATGGTTAATAAACAAAAAAGTTATTGTAAAGAAACAAGAAGTGTCCATTTTTTAATTTGTTTATAACTATCACATTTATTGATAAAATTTTATAAAACCTATGACAAGTTGAGGGTTTTGTCATACTTTAAAAGTATGCCAAAAGTGGGGGCTGTAGGTGCAATCGTTTTCGCACAATTCAATTTGTTTGTAACAGACGCTCCAAAAGTTATAAATTTTAAGCCTCTGTACAGGTGTTTTTAACCAAACATGATTCTGAAAGCGTCATTGCAATCTTAAAGACATAATTAAGCGACCTATTAAAAAATATCACAATTTTTTTGACATTAACATTCTCAAATTGTGCATTAAAAAAACATGCGTTTTTCGCTTATAAATAATTTGAATAAAATTGTTGCTATTTGTGCTACCTCACCGAAAATAGATGCAATGGATAGCTGGCAAAAAATACAAATTTAAAAAAGTACCCTCTACGACCAACAGAAGCTAAGATAAGAATTTTTTTTTTAAATCGTAGCGCAATTGTTTATAAACATTAAGACTTGAATTTTTCGTAAAAATAAAGTTTACGATGTAAACTACGATTTCCCATGAATTGCATTGAAAAATATGGAAAATTAACGACTCACGAGCCCGTTAAAGAAAAGGTACTTGCTAAGTAAACTGTCCGGCGTGGTGAAGGGGGATGCTCGTCCAAGCAAGCCGCGAGAAAGTGAAATCCAAAGTTCAAATTGATGTGCGCTGTAAAATTTTGCAATATGTCGGCTACTGTTTATCGTAGAAACTCCTTTTTTTTTTTAAACTGAGTAGCTCGACGAAAAAATAACAATGGGCATATTTACGAAATCGTAAAATAGACCTGAACCCCAAAAAAAATTCATCTTTTACACTTAAATTCTTTAATTTACAAAAATGTCACAAAAATTATTGTTAAATGAAATATTAATTAAAATTTCAATTTCGGAATTATTTTACTATTATTAAATAAATAAATGAAGCTATCGTTCATGTAAAAAGTTATTATTTTATATTTTAAGCCAAAGTAAACTTATTTTTTCAATATTTTGGGTTATTTAAATTAAAGTAAAAATTCACAAATTATTTATTGTTAAAAGATTTAAAAAAAACAAAAAGCATTTGAATTTATTGCAAAATTCTCAAAATTAAAAAATGTTAAAAATAATGCGGTCAATAAAATTACAATTTTAACTTCTTGAAATTTTAATATATAGTTTTTTTATTATATTTATTACTTATTTTATACAAAAAAATTTTTGCAACATAATCAAAATTAATTAAAAAAATATTAATCACAACCACTCTCAATAATAGATATAATGCAATATCTACAATCTAAAATTTAAAATTTTTTCTATTTTAATGAAAAATAAATTTAAAATTTTACAATAATCTCGCGGATAGGATTTTTTCGAGTAAAAATTTTATTTGCTTGGCCTATTAACAATGTCAACCAACCTTAGAATAAACGTGTTCTACATTTTAGATAACGTTTCGATGCCTTTTTTTTACGAATAATTAAATTTGTTCTGACTTGAAAACTATTCAGTAATATTCTGCCGATTAAATGTTCGCAGTTCAACATTTGTGACCATTTTTTGTGCAATTGACGTAAATTTGGAAAACAATATTTAAATACTGCATCTTTATAATGTGCAGTCTTCGTTTGAAAAATATGGTGACTAAAATAAAATGTTGCAGAGTCGTACAAAAACAATTAGTTTTACAAAATTATTTTCCATTGCAGTTTCACTCTCTATCGCCTCATTGGTTAGTTTGAAAAGATAACAACAGCCAACTGTGATAAGCACCCACATACAGTGGTAGCTTGGGAACTGACTAGTGACGGCGTAGACAAGATCGAATGCTGTTTAAAAAACAAACTATAACTCCACCAATTATTTGATTTAAACAAAAATAATTTCAGATTAGTATTCTGGAGAACGAGCACTACATATAAAAAACCGACCTCTACTTAAGGTCACACTCCAGTTCTCGTTGAGCGTTACAAATTTTTGCGAATACTTACACAAACCCTTGGGGCAAGTTCCAGTCAATGTTCCCAATTCTATAAGAGTCACGGAGCATTTGCCGCCTTCGGGCGGATAGAGCAAAAGCGTCAAGTGCTCCTTCTCGCTATCCAAGATAGATCTGTCGGTAATAAGCACCGCTCTCGAAATATATGTCTTTGGTACGGTCTCCACAAATTTCACTGGGGCTTTTTCAATGCCCATCACGATGTGATCCGCTTTTATGCGTTGCTCACCTACGAGCAACGCCTTGAACCCTCCATCATCGAAGATGTAACCGCTAATCGGTTGAGACAAGGCGAATATTCCACCGAACACCGCGCTCAACCTGAAACGTACATGATTTTAATTTAAACACGCCTGTAGTCTTTAAAATGGTATTCTAACCTGCAAAAGGCCTGCGTAATTTCTCCGCTCCCGTACATTGAGAACAAAAATGGTGTTTTTCCGAACCGCCCTAAGCTATTCAAAAATCTTTTGGTGTTCTCAACCCCTTCAATGCAAGGGGTATCATCTGTGCTCATCGAAATCGCATACAGTACGTAATGGATTAGATCGGGAGTCAGTTTTCTGTCTTTTAGGAAAGCACGAAAAGTTTTATTCGTATAACCTAGAAATAAGAAAATTGATTACTGTTAATAAATTTCATTTTTAACATACTTTTTAGTTCTGCGCCACCGTCGTCGAGGGAGGTAAGTAGCTTCATAAGCATTCTTTTTTCAATGACTGAGACTTTGCTGTTGGCGAAGACGTCAGATCTAGAACAAGGAACAACTTCGAGCTGACCATTCAACCACGTCAACACTCTACTGACACTCCTATATTCTGAGTAACGGGCAATATTTGAAGATATAAGTAATTCCACAAAATCACCTCTTGCATATTGTAGCTAAATTAAAAAAAATTAAAATGCTTACAACCTGAACCTATAAATTATGTTACCTTAGGGGTGAGATCAATATTAAACTTTCTAGTTTCCTTCAGAAGACTTTCCTTAGTCCAAGCTTCAGGGTTTGTGTTGTCACCTAATTCTAATTGGCCTTTTTCCTCCATGAATTCGCTTGGATTGTTTACATCCTCACTTGAAGCTTTCCTATAAAAATACTATTATCCCCAGCCTAAGGTTTATTTAAATATACTTACTCTGGAATGTGCCAGTTGAAAACAACATTTTCTATGTTAAATAAATCATTTCCAATAGAAGTAATATATTCATCTTGCTGCAATAACTTGTTGGCATCTTCCAATATATAATGCTGCTTCTCTTTAATTTTTTGAATTGCGTCTAAATTAAATGAAGCCCACTGTCCACCATAATAATCATTCCTATACAATAATAAAAAATTATCTGCGAGAAACATTATTTTTTTTTACCTGTCAATATGTAAAACCCTTTTCCCAATTCTACTTGCAGCAGCTGATAGAATTGATTCTACCATTCCAGTACCCACAATTATAAGGTCAAAGTCGCTAGGAAGCTGATTATCCATATTTTTATAGAAAATTCTAATGCACTGATCTCAAATAACTAAATTATTAATTTATATTAATGGAAGGAATATAAAATCAAATGCCATTAGTTTGACATTTCTAAACGATTTGTTTTTGTTAACAAAGTATAAGTATAAGTTGGTAGCACTGAATTAGTGATTGATCTCATGATACAAGAAGAGGGAGATCAGGTCCCTAGATAAATGATACTATAGATATGAAACTTGAATAGATTTCGTGGTCATTAACAGCGCTAACTGTTGACACTTTCTCCAACTTCTATTGCTTTCCTTTTCTAGGAATTATCGGTAATACAGTGAGTTAAATTACCTTTAGCCAGTAAAAGATGCAAGCGCCATCTAGTTGTACGCTCTACAACTATATACCTACCTACTCAATATTTGTTTTAGGTATTCTGCCGCCGCTAAATTTAAAATTACATAACAAATCTCACCCTACACAGATCACTCAGAAATTGATTTTGTAAAATAATTTTCACGTAGATAATTTTTTTTGTCACCATGAGAAAATAAGTACATTTGATAAAAAGCATTAAAATCACTCAAGCATTAAAGACACTTTTAAATGCTCTAATAGTCTTTCTACTTAAAATAAGAAATAATTTTGATACTGTAACTTTTTAAAATGTTTGTTGAAAAAATTTCAAATTT